ACTGATCTTGTCAATTGAATAATGTCAACAGAGCATGTTTTCGTTGTTATGTATCAAAGGTTAATAAATTAAAGAAATGAAGGAATCAGGAATAGAGATCTGCTTATGATTATAGTCAGCTGTCTGGTGAGAGAAGACGAAATGCAGCCACAGTGAGCCTTCGCGTCAGACAGTCTGAAAGCGTACGTCGTATGTTTTGGCGTGACCAGACCAAAATACCATGATATCCCTACTGTTGGCGAGTTCCCAACTTGCTACTTGATTCTCGGCTGGTTGCATCGAAGAGACGTTTGGTTAATTACGTACTCGTAGGAATTCACGGCTAAAGCATGAGATTCAGATTTGATCATACGCAGTGACACTGCCCACCCCCCCCCATTAACTGTAGTATGCTTTTATGTAATCGGGTTATGAGCAGATATCTTTCCCCTTTAGGTAGCACCCACTGCACTAAAGAAATCTCGCCATCACACGAGTTCATCAGTGAAAAGTAGTAAAGGTAATTCGGCAGTATGACATACTTTCAAATATCCTATCGTCTATTCCACAGTTACTTGATTTAAATGTTGCCTTCATTTACTATACCGTAGTAAACTGCTTCCATACATTACTTTGCCAGGGCGATGCACTGGCTGCTGAACAAGTGAAAGCGAAATCAGAACTCGAATGTAACATTAGAATATAAGATTTAAGTTCTGACCATCAATTCAACTTGCTTATCATTTCCAAGTGTCATTTCAGTCGCGATTCACCTGTAGCTCATATCTCTGTGTTAGAAAAGTGTCTTCGTTTAGCGTTGTTTTCTGTTCTATTCGTTCTGGTGTCACTTTACCCGGAATTCACACGTTTTATAACCAATTAAACTTTAAACGTATTTGTACGTTCCTTTCTATTTTTAAGGTTATCAATAATGCATCCCTTGCCCTGGTTCCGAAGCAGTCGTCGATGTATAATCTGTCCCTTCTCTCTGACCGATCTGATAAGTCGAGCACCTTTTCCCTGAAAAACAGCCCTACGTTGAGCCGCGCCTTTTCTCCACTCAGCTCGCACAAAGATTTGGAATCTGGCTTCAAGATCTACCATCTCGTGAAACCGAACGATCCGCAGGAAATGGGAATGGAACGCGGCGGCAAGATGGTGTCTGAAATCTATCTCACGCGACTTCTTACCACGAAGGTATAAAACTGTCAATGTTTACTGTAATTAATGCTTGTTTTCTGTTTCGCAGGGTACCTTGCAAAAGTTTGTCGAAGATCTCTTCGAAGCCATATTTTCCATTGCTCATCGTGGCAGCACACTTCCGTTGTGTATCAAATACATGTTCGACTTCATGGACGACCAGGCGATGCGGTTTGGTATCACCGATCCGGAGGTAGTACATACCTGGAAGAATAACAGGTAATGGAAATGGAAAGTAGTTTCTTTCGTTTGACAAGGACATTTAACTTTACTGCTTCCAGTATCTTTCAGTATTATCAAATAAAAATTGAAAATTCATCAACATTATGAATCTTTATTGATCCATTATTGGATGAAGGCTTCTCCAAGACTTCGCTATAGATTCTGTATTCTGTATTTTATCCATTTCATCCGTCTTGATTCCGCGAGTTTCTTCTGCTCATTCTGTCAGCGATCTATGCATCTTCATACGGGCTGTCTACTCTCTCTCTCTCTCTTTGAAACGAGGCTGATGACTCTATGGGCCAACGATGGACGGTTCTTCTGACATTGTGTTCTGCTCGTTGTCACTTCTTTACCTTGGCAATCTTATGGCGGACTTTTGTTTGTGCTTTTATCCATTCGTTCGTATTCCTAAATTTTTGTTATTCCCAACATACATCTTTCCATGCTGTGTTACGTGGTCTCCATTCAGGCGGCTTAAGATCCGCGTTTCGCACCGATAGGTTTCACTAGGTGGCGGTCTTCTTGATCAATGAAGATTTTTCGTTTCATGCTCAAGAACAGTTCCCGGATAGGAACTTTTCTGTATTCAGAAACTTTTCCATGCCATTTTTATTGTTTTGTTGATTTTCGAAGTCAGCAGTTCTCCGTTGCAAAGATGAGCTGTCCCATTTAGGCATGTTTTGCATTTTTTCAACCGTAAATCAAAGGACACCGTCACATATTTGTTTAAGGTTACCTGAGTTTTCTTCAGGTTCATTTTCACTCCTACCTTGATACTGCCATCAGCTTTTGGATTTTTTTGAGATTTGCTGGTATATTTGAAAGAAGCAAAGCTCATATTGTTTAAGAGTAGCTGTTCATGTTTAACCCCTAATTTTCTCAATGAAGGGGTTTGAAAACATTTTTAAGGGCTTGTTTATGAGTATTTTTGGCGATATCTCTTCTCCCTGTCTGATGTCCACGTCTGCTATGGTAGAGCTCCACACATGCAGTTACTTTCTCGTAAATTATATCTAACACACTTATGTTCTCTTCTCGATTTTCTCCTTCCTCAAGGAGTCGAATACACACCGGGTGTAGTAGACTCGGTTGAGTTGAAAGCTTTCTCGAAGTCAACGAACTCCATCGGAAGAGGAAGTCGATATTCGTTGCTTCTCCGGTTTACTCGATGACCGTCTGGAGATAATCCTTCGTACTATATGCACTTCTGAATCATGCTTGCTCCTTTGCTTATTCAGTGCGCAACATTTGTTGTATGTTTATCATTACCTTCTTGAAGATCTTGTGGATAATTGACAGTTTTTCAAATCCTCTCTACTTCCCGTGAGTCTAATTGTCTGTTATCTACAGTTCCTTGAGATAAGGTGAAAACAAGTGCACTAATATGTTGATCATTCGTACACCTTCTAATTCTACGAGTTTGGTTTCACCGTAGTGGCATCTTCGTCAAGAGCCGTTCTTCGTTTCGCCTATTTTTGTTGTATGTCGCCCTTCTAGAAAAATATCGAAAATTTCGTTTGCTTCATCTGTTCTACTTTTTCCGATTTCTTATCGATATCAAGACTATATCAAGATACCTTGCCCCCCTTTGTTTACAGTTTCTTATAGAAATTTTCCACACTCTTTAGAATCTTTTGTCTGTCCGTGAAGAGAATCTCGGTTTATGCTTTGGTATCTAAAATGTTTCGTCATGCTGACTATCTTGCTAACTATGATTTACTTTCTTCATGCTTCGATTGATTTCAATATTTTTTGTTGACAAAACCTGCAGTTGAATTGTCAGACGTCTTTTTTTTGTTTCCCCGTTTCGAACTCTGATTTCTGATCTGCTACTGTCCTAATTTCTCTTCGGTTTCTTAACTGTCTTTGTTCTGATGATGCTTTCTACCGTTTTTTCTAACTGTCTTCGTTATATCCTGAAACATTACTGCTTCTAATTTAATGTTTATTTTTTCCGTTTCTCCTTTTTCTGGTATTCCAAAAGGTACGTCAAATTGATTTCAGTTGGAATAGCGGGAGGTTCTTCTTTGCTGTATCTGATTTCTCGTTCGTTTTAAACCGTCAAAGTCATAAAGTAGTAGTATATTTGCAATATCTAACCAAATATGCATAAATCGATGTATTTCATTATTTATGTTTTTAGTTGTTCTGTTACCTGTTCTTCTTTATGTGCATAATTGTAGAAGAGTTAATTTCTGTCTGTTGTACTTTGCCAGTTATCAACTAGCTGATGATGATCTTGATTCCAAACTAAGACCGGTTCTCTTCTAAACTTTTTTTTAACGACTCGGGTTTTTGGTAGCAAATAATGCAGTTTCAGTTTCGTCTAGAAGTTACATCATCAAACATTTTCTGAACGGTACATTTTTTCTAGCGAAAATATGCCCGTTTATCCCAATTCTTCCTTTTTAACATTAGTCCCAGGTTGAACTTTTTTTTCTAAATTTTTGCAAATCCTTAAGTTCTGTTATTACCATACTCACTGACTCAATACTTGTTGGTCTCTGACTTCCAAATTGGGTCTTCTTCGATTTTGCATATTTAAATTATAGGGTTATAGGGTCAACTCTACCAATATTGAACCGACAACGTAACGAACAACGGGTATGCTGATCTTCATTGATCCCAATGTTCGCGTAACACTGTTTAGCGCAACTCGCATAAAATAATCTGTGGTTTTCCCTGTTTTCTATGTACAGAACCATACGTAGTAAAACTGAAGGTCGTTCCTCCATTTTAAAGGTCATGAGTTTCGCCGTTAGGAGCCTTTGAACCAATTCTGTATTTCGCATATTGACTTTAATGACGTCATAATTTGCAACGTGTCGTTTTTGTTTCAGTCTGCCGTTGCGCTTCTGGGTGAATCTCATCAAAAACCCACACTTCGTGTTCGACATCAGTCGTCCGACGAAAATCGAAGGCTGCCTGTCGGTGATTGCGCAGACGCTGATGGACTCTTGTTCCACACAAGATCCTCAACTAACCAAAGACAGTCCGTCATCGAAGTTACTTTTCGCCCGTGATATTCACAACTACAGGGAATGGGTCGAAAGGTACCAGTGTTAGTCATTTACACTGTTCGGTTGTTGTTTCGATGGTGATTTATTTTTTTTCCAGGATATGCTCAATTTTCTTATGTTTTATACTGCATAATAGGACAAGAAGAACAGTCTGCAACTCTAAGGAACATGCTGGAGGCAGATGTGCTTTCTGAGAGGAATATTTGTATCTGCGACGTGGTAACCGATGTCTTATAGTGAAAGTGTTGAAAAGCTGTGGATACCGCTAACATAACAAACCACAGACGTTCTGAAAACGCAGCAATACGTTTTTTCAACAAACAACAAGCATGTTGCATAAATAAAACTTGAAGTTATTGATACTAGGCCCGTAGTTAGAGCTTTTTTGCCAACCCGTTTCGCTGTGTACACCGTAGCACCATCAGGACTGGTCAATGACTGCTTGATGTTAAATTCACATTCAAAATCATAACACAACCGGATCTTTCGTGATTGTTTCCCAGCTTTCGCTAATGACCGTGGAAGATGTGAATCCATTGTATTAATCCGGTATTTCATTCCCAGAATATGCACGGACTCATTTATCGGCAGATTTAATTTAGAATGTTCTTTGTCTATAGTATTTACACTAATTTGACTGAATGAGTTACTTTTCGGAAATGCCATGCTGGGCGGAACCAAAACCAGTAGTTT